TACCTACTCACTTACACCCGCGTAATCAGCTTCTCGCGCACACGCGCACGCGCTGACTCACTTACTCCCACACCCACTCATAGCGAAAAAAAGCCGAGGCAAAAAGGTAAACCCTCGGTCACGCTTGTTTTTGCGCACGGTGATTGGCCATGGTTTATCGGGCAAGGGCGGGCTGTCGTTTTGCCTTAGTAAGGCTGATTTCGGGGGGGTCAAGACGCGCGAGAGGACACACAGAGCGAGATGCGCGAGAGCACTTGCGCAGAAAGATGCGTTGCAGCACACGCGCAGCAGGATGCTACCTAAATTGCGCATTTTCCACGCTCTTTCCATGGCCGTGCCGCGCGTGGTTAGAATGCGTTTTGGGCGCTATCGGCGGCTATCGACATTTTATTTTAGTCAAATCATTTGGGCCCAGGAAGCTCAACTTCGTTGGGCCGCGGATCATGCTGCGGGCAATTGGTATCGCACGGTTTTGGAAACCCTGGCACTTGTGCACAGCTATGACTTCATGGTGGGGCTGAAGATCAGCCACCCCTGTCAAGATATGCCGCCGACCCAGCCAAACGAGCCCTGGATCCTGCAAGAGTCAGGCTTGCTCAACGAAGCGTGGCTACTCCTGACTCACATTGCAGCTGCCAGGAGCTTGAACCTTTTTTTAATTCAAGTGTGTGCCGAGTCCTAAGCCTGCCCAACGCAGGATATGGTCGCAAAGCGCTCATGGCTGTTGCGTGCCACATATCATCAGCACAGTCTTTGACAAGCATGAGCTCGTCAGACAGTGGGGCATGGACACTTTGAGATCCCTGGACCACGGTCTCAACATTGCCTTCCGAGAGATGACAAAGGACCCATCCAGCCACTTGAGCGCATGCTTGTCCGACTTGGTCCACGACTGCTGGTGGAGCCGCACACAGGTGGCGCTTGAAACAATCCAGGTTGGGCGAAATTGCGCCTTTGATCACCAGGATGAAGAAATGCGAAAGCAGTGCTTCGGTCTGTTTGCAGGACCGTCCAACAGCAAGCATACAGCGGAGGATGTGTTTGGGCATCTTACTCACATAGCTTCCCGCAGCAACAAAGGGCATCTCAAGATGAACAAGTTCGAAGCCTAGTTGTGCAAAACATCGCTGAGCAAGGTGTGCGGTCCTTATTTGTTTTGGGGGGAACAGCATTTGTTTTTGTCACTGTTAGGTGGTCCCGCTTCTTCTACTGCAGCACCTGCAAATCGGCCGCGAACAACGGGTACAAACACGTTCAGTGTCAACCTGAAGACTATCTTGCAGCGAGGGTTGCCAAACTGAGACAAGCAGTCTACGGAACATATTTTAAGCCAGCCTTGCGGCTGCCAGCCGAATTGAACCTGCATTCCATCAAGAACGTTGCTTGGCTTCCACAAATGTCGCTGTGTTCACTAAAACTTGTGCACTCTGACTCTTTCATGTTCGTTTCCTGGTCGTAAGCCACCTATACCCGAGTTGAAAAAGAAATGGGGAGCTGCCGGAACACTGGCTGACATGCGGGAGACGGCTGCCAGCGCAACATTGATCCGAGCTCAAACTGAAGACTTTGCGCGCATCACCGAGTATTGGTCAGGAAGGGCCGCTTCAAACAAATTTGTGTTTTCAACTGGTAAAGGGAGCTTGGCGTTTTTTGTTTAGGGGCCTCATGGTGGCTTCCTTGTTGGCTTCCCTGCCAAGACACAAAAATGGAACACCCTGAAAACCACACTTCTGAAAAGAGTGCTTTTGAACGCAAGCTTACCCTTTTGTTTTGCATGTTTGATAATCTAACCCCTGGAGGTTGCCTTTTCACAATGGGACTGGTGGTACTGACCCATGACAAAGAGCAGGCCTATCTTTCCTTGGGATTCAGAAAATGGGGTGCGTTGGCAGTCCCTCTAGATATCGTGTCTGGCCTGGGTGACGAGGCCGGCCAGCAGTTTCGCGCACTCAGCCCCTGCAGCATGTGAGGGAGGGCAGTGGCTCTTGTTTCCCTGAAAGGTTGTCTTCGTTCTGCCCCAAGTGCTTCAAGCACAGACGCCAACTACCTGGCCTGCGCTGTGAAGCCTACCCTGCCTATCGAGACAACGGGCCCCCATCGCAAATATGTTTCAGTTTTGAAGCCATGTGCTCCATTGGAGCCCCTTGTCAAAGCTGCCCTTCGAACAGGAAAATGCTGGCTATCGGCGACTCACTTGCAACAAGTTTGCCAAGCGAACGGCGTACCAGCCCCAGAGGGAACAGGAAAAGAAAACAAGCGAACCGGCGTCCGGAACATCGTGAAAAAAGATAGGGCGACAGCTCTTGTGAAGTACCTCTTCCCCTCCGAAAACCAGGAGGTCAAGGACACCATTGTGCGAGGAATTTTGGGAGCAGCCAACGGCTTGGTTTCTAAAGACAGTTTTGCGGAAGTCCTGAAAGAGCTGGACGAACTGGACGAAGAGAACAGGGCGGCCTTTGGTGGTTTGGAAATGATGGCCAAACAAGTGAAGAAACAGAAGGAACATGATGATGTCAGGGAAGAGGTTATGAAAGAAGGTCGGGGTGCCTTTGCGCAAATAACACAGCGCAACGCATGAGCGATAGCAGTTGTAGCCCCGGCCTCTTCCTGCCAGTCGAGGTGTTGGCTCTGCGCCAAATGCTCCCAAAGCTCACCTCACTCCAAAGGAGTTGAAACTAAGCCGCGCTTTTTGTTCGGCGTGGGATTTTGTTGCGAAGGCTTTGTGTTGCTGCGGCATCATTGCTTTGCTCAGGATTGGTCTGCTTCCAGGCAAAGGTGCCATTGCGAACGTCTACATTCAAAGGAACCCAGCGCAGCAAACTTATCAGGCGTTTTACCCAGGTCCCTTGGATCAAGTTTACGTTTGGACAGGGTTTTGAAACGGTGTTGTGTTCTCTGTCGTTTTCTGGCCTTCCCCCATTTCAGCCAAGTCACATCCGGGTCGTCATCGCGATGCTGCACATGGGGGGGAGTGCGGCGCGGGCTGACCGAAGGTCAGGCGCTCTACGAAGTGCTCACTAAAATTTGGAAGCTCCATTTTGATGAAAACACTCATGTGCAACCCGAAGACGTAGTGCCACTTAGCTCAAACGCGTTGGGAGCAAATGGTTTTGGCTGAGTCGTTTGCAAACTGCTCAACGTTCAGAGCGGGTTCTTTGAACATCTAAGGCCAACTCAAGCTGCAGTGGATGAAGCTGTGGCGCAATTTTCCAGGGTAGCAGTAGAAGAGTCTCAGCCGTCCCGACCGGCCAAAGTCAGAAGAACGAAGAAGTAAAAAGGCTTTTCCTAGCTCTCAGCAGAGCTTTTGGCTGCCTAAGGGTCTCTAAGGTTTCCGTTGCTTGGGCTTGGACAAGGACACTTTCTTATCATGGGACTATCAAGGCCTTAATAAGAGCTTATCCATTATTGTTGGGTAAGTGCTTATTAACACCTTATTAAGGCCTTAATAAGCCTATGATAAGACCTTATTAAGGGTTTATCCAGCAGAAACGCAAATAGACCCTAATCCTGCGCTAATGCATAACCGAAGTAGGCCCCCCCCCCATGGGCCCCCCCAACACTCCATGATAAATGCCTGAAAAAGGAAAGAAAGCAATTGACTCAAGCCCCGTTTGCCCGAAAGCAGGCGCAGGCTCGGAGACGCGTGTTCCCACATCCTTCCTTTGACGCTTTTCCTCTAGGCTGGAGTTAGGACCCCAGCAAAAATATATATATATATATATATTATATATATATATATTTTTTGCCTGGTTGGTGGAAAACAAAGGGACCTCAAAAAAGCAAAAGAAGAAAAGGGGTAGCAGCTAATTCTGGGGAAGCCTAATGAACACCCCCAATTAATAAACCCCAGTTTACTAATATGGGGGTGTCCCTGGAAGTGGGGAGTGTCTAATTTTTGGCGGGGAACACCCCCCTGTTTATAAACTGGGGTCGATTAATACGGGAGCTAATTCTTGGGAAGTGACCGAGACCGGAGGTCAGCGGGATGAAACGGAGGCTACGGCATCGTGGTAAAATTTTCTGACCTAGACCTCAGCTGCTCTGAGCCGAAGCCCTGGTGTCCTTTGGTCGGAATCTGTTCTGAAACCCGGGTTGGAGTTTTGGCTCTGGTTGAACTCCTCAGCTGTTCAGTGACCCTGGAAAAAAAGGATTGGAACCCTTTTTGGGGAAGACCATTTTTAGTGGGGCAGCCACCAATATAAGCTCAGGTGATATCCCCAACAGCATGCGGTGCTCTTTTTTGTGCTCGCACCACCCCGCAGCCCTCGCAGAACCTCGTGGAACCCTGGTGGAACCCTGGTGGAACCCTCGTGGAACCTGACCTCAGGGCTGCCCCAGACCGCCCTGGAGCCTATCTGGGCTGAGACCCCAAAGCTTCCAGCTGTTGGGGAAAAAAGGGAAAAAGGGTGCCACTGAACAACTGAGAGACCTAGCGAGGGCGTGGAGGGACAAAATCTGTTCGCACCACGAATTGAATCCATGCGAAACACGATTCTTGGTATTTACAGGGGAATCGAATCATTCCAGGGATTCTTAGGTGGTGCAGGAGTTCGTCCATCAACCAAAGCAAGCAAATGAATGAAGACTACGGCCCATTATGGCTGTTTCGAAGGGCGAACTGCCCTGGTCAAAACGGGGAAGGATCCGCAGCTGACTTCCAACTTCCAGCAAACCCGAAAAAGGTTTATCTGGGTCCGGCAAGCGCCCTCAACAAAGGGGAGCAAAGGACGACCTGCTTCTATTTCTGCTTAGTCCCCTGAGAAAACAAACACATTAGATTCAACATTAGATTACTAGTGACAGATTCCCCTTTAAAACCAACAGAGAACATACCACGCATTCTTAAGCAAATTGGAAGTTCTTAATTCAATATGGCTATGGCTTTCAATGCATACTCCCCCCCCCCCCCCCCAGGTACATTGACATGAGACCATTTCGGGTCCCCAGGGAAAATTCCCACCATCAAAGTCAGGCCTCCAGTTCTCCCATCGCCAAGGCGCCAGAGGCGCCAGCGCCAGAGGCGGAGCGTTGAGCCCCCGCCTTGGTCTGGAATTCGGGTCCGAGGTCAAACCCAAGAATCCCCCGCCCGGACCCAGAGGCTTTCTTTTGGGGTAGCCCCTGAGGATGGCTTTTGGGGGCTCGAAGCACCTCGGAGGTACCAAGAGAATTCGATTGATGGGCCTTCAAGCAGCCGGGTCTTGAGAATTCCCGGGTCCCAAGCACCAATTCCCGGAGTGTCCAATGGAGGGGTCGGGTCTTCCAGAAGCCGAAGCCGATCGGAGCCAATCTGGGAACCTGAAAAAGCTTCGGGGGGAAAAACCACGCACGGCCATCTTGTGCCCTAAGGCTCCCTCTCGATTTTTGTTGGGGGCAAACCAGGTAAAAAGGTCGTTCAGGGCAAGTCAGGATCTGTTCAAGCTGTTCCTCACTTCCTGCGTGGAGTGGTAAGAGCAAACTCGACGTTTGCTTGCCAAGATCCTCCAGTAGAGAGCTTAGAATAAGGCTACCAACTTTTTCCTGTAGTCTACTTTAGTAGGGGAACCCTCCCAACCAATAAAGGGGAGAGAAGGGCACCTGGGGGACCTAGCATGATCTTCACAAATTCAAGCTCAGAAGCTGGGGCCGTTTTCTGCTGTCCCCCAATTCTCGCCACAAACAGGCGATGGAGACACGTCTTCCCCATCTCTATGTCCATTTCAATGAGTGACTTGGCAAAAACAAATCAGAAGATACAGAAGAGCCATGAAGAGTTCGGGACGTTTTCCTCCAAAGGGGTTGGTACCGATTGGTCACGAGATTTACCACAGGGTTTGAAGATCACCTTTTGAAGAAGTGGGCTTCCCTGGGCCGTCCGTTTTCTGATCCCCTGCTAGTGGCTAACTTTTAGTGGGTGAACTGGACACCCAACGAAGCCAACGAAGACCTGAACCAGACTAAGGAACCGGATGGGAGGGGACCCGCGAGATGGGGGAACCACTTCTTCATTCCTCACTTGCCCCTGTGGTACCTGGACACAATTGGCGAACTGTTGTGGAAAACTATTTAAATATGGACTGAGTAAGAGGGATCACGGGATTTCCCTTGAAAAGTTGATCTATTTGCTTGTGGTTTCCATTGAAGCTGCCACTTTTGGAGGTTCCAAGAAGGGAAACGGAGAGGGCGACACGGTCTTCGCTTGGATTCCACTCTCTTTGACCCTGTGGCCATGGTTGAAGTCTTCGCTTCCCGTATCACGGCTCACGGCCCACGGCCACTCAACTTGGCAAGCGCGGCAAGCGGAAGCATGCCAGCGAAGATGCCGATTCCAAGTCCCTCACAGAAACTCACTGACCTGGACCCCCAACAAACCGTTGTTACCCCATGTTGTTGGGGGGGTGGGGCAATAACCCATGTTGATGGGTAGTTCAATTTCTGCAATAACTCCCAAAGACTACCCCCCCACCATAAAAGGGGGAATTTCGTTGTACCACAGTCCTCCATTTGCTTAAGCCCCCTGAAAAACAAATCGACCTATTTCCAGTAGCGAAATCGATTCCCTTTAAAACCCATTAGGGGAAAATCACACATATTCTTGGTTGGTTGGTTGGTGTGTGGCCAGCACATGTTAGTGAGGCCAGGCCCGCGCTTCCCCCCCGGCCGGAGCTTGGGGTTCAAGCCGGCCGGAAATAACACAAATCTTCCTAACCAAACGGAAGCAGCGATCACACTCCCCTGACCCGAATTTTCCATCGGGTCTCGGCGCGAAATTTCTCCGGCCTCGGCGCCAGCGCCGGAAGCCGAAGGCAAGCCAAAGCGCTGGGCACGCTGCTCCTCGCGCGCGGGGGAAAAAATGAAGCAAACAAAAACACAAAACCGGGGGGGGGAGGGGGGAGGGGGGGGGGAGGGTAAACCCCCGACCCGCAGAATTCAGTCCATGTTTCCATTTGCTGTTCCAGTTTGAGTACATATCTTTGACCCACAGCCATACAAAAAAGCACAACACCCAGGAAGAAGGGCGGGGGGAGGGGCCCTCCCCCGTGCCTCTGGTATGTGGTGAGTATGCCTGGTAAAACCCACATATGTCCAGTGGGGCATAACCAAGCTTACCCGCTTTCTGAGTAATCGCCCCTACCCAGTGGATCCATTGACCCGGCAGGTCTCCAAGGGAAAAGCTCTCGCCGCCCGGAAAATCACCGGGTTTACCCACTAGTAACTGGGACCCACTGGGATCCACTGGGTTCACTGGTTACCCGGTTACCCACGGGTTTGGGGACTTACAAGTGGAAGTAACCCGGGTTACTCCCCAACCAGCCTGCTCACCTTCTGGAACCTTATGCAAACCAAATGGTCACAAGGTCGGCCTCCACGTAACTCAAGGGGCTTCACATACACAGCCCTACCCATGAGTATCCCAGTGTAAATATTATTGAGTATGATTTGTCAATCCCTGATCAATTCAAGAAGTATATTTGCCATGAAGAGCCGGTGCTTTGTCCAAACACACTTACCACAAACAAACATGTTTATCTGTTGAGGCAGGACCCCCTATCAGAGCTGTCCGCTTTAAGGTTGGTTTGGAGAGAAACATATGGGTGGCCCTGGTTTCAGTTTATCTACCAGGGCTGTCTGATTTTTTTCCAAAAGGACACCTATGCCCGCTATGTTTCCAAGAGGGCCTTTACATGGAACCTAGGAAACCCGGAGAGGGCTTTTTTTGGTAAAAAAACTTTCAGTCAGTCGCAAAAGTTCCTCGATTCTCTGAAAGATTGCCAGGCTTGAAGGAGCAGAGATCCAAACTTTCTGATTGCAGAATGTTGCATTTTTTCTTGTATGGCTGTGGGTCAAAATCCAAATCGTAGCCCCACTGAACATCCCAATCCAACCACTAAAATAGACTAAAATGGGTGGTGCACCTACCCCAAAATGGTAACATTGGTTTTGACCCACAGCCGTATCCTTGCTTGGGCTCTTCAAAGTCCCCTTTGTTTGTGGTTTCCAATATGGCAACTCGGAATGGTGGCTCCGTGTTTGAACAGCTGGGTCAGGGATTTGGTCTATCTTATTTCGGAAGAGAGGACATAGAGATTTTAACTCTGCAAAATCTGAGATCCTCAGCAACCCACCCAGTGTTCCTGGCGAATCGTTCTGGATTTGTCAAGGGCTTGGTGCAACGTATCGATGGTTGATTGCCTGACAAGGTTGGCAAAAGCCCGGCTTTGTATAAGACAAAAGTTGCTATGTCGGGAAGGGCTGTAATATAGAAGATGTCAGTATAACCCTTATGGGAGAATACAACCTGTAAGAATACAATAGGTCGCATATTACTCACTTCCTGAGAGGATCGCAAGACAAACTACATGTCTCTGCGCCACTAAAATGGTCTTCTGAGAAATCACGCGCATACACTACGTACTGTGGACGGGCGAACTCCATGTCGCACCACCTAAGAATCCCTGGAAACAAATGATTCCCCTGTAAATACCAACCAACAATGCTGGTTTCAACCACGGTTTCAGTTCGTGGAGAATCCGAACGGATTCTGTCCAGAGCGGGGCTCGATCAGTTGTCGCTTCCGCTTTTGAGTGGCTGGCCAAACAAAGTCCGTAAGCCGAAACGGAGCTGAGAACTGAGGTTGGGAGTCTTCTGCAAAGGTCAGCTCCGTTGTCTTCAAGGGGGACCTGGAAGCAACAGCTGTTTAGCTCTTGAAACCTTGCAATCACCTGGTACTATTCTTTTTAGCTGTACAGCTGTTGAAACCTTAACTAGGTCCTCCAGTAGACAGCTTAGAATAAGGGTACCCTTCTTTCTGTAGTCTATTTTAGTAGGGGAACCCTCCCCCCAAAAAGGGTAAAAGGGCACTGCTGGGGGACCTAGTTAAAAACATGGAGCAAATCCGAAAACCAAAAGCTTAGATCCGGTCGATTTGAGTCCAAGGGTCAAAGGCTGTGAGAACCCAGCCCCGCCAGCCGCGATCGGATCGAAATGGATTTGTACCCACTCCAAATGTCCCCCACCTGAAGATTCATTCTCCGGAAAAGCAAGTTAAACACGAGAACTACCAGGAAACTCGTGGAGAATGAATCCCCAGGCATGTTTGGAATAGATTGAAAAACTCCAAGCATCCAAGAACCCATGTTTTAGGGCTTGTGTATGGAAAATATGTGTTGTTTAAGGGTGGTTGACATTGTATCCAGTTGGGCCTTAGAACCCGAAAGCAAATCCACTGAAGAAGGAAAAAAACACGCACACGGTCTGGCTGAATCCCTTGCGTAAGCTCTTTCATGGAACCATGTCATGACAAAACATGCCCTGTCTTCCAGTAAACTCACAATGGGATATCATGTGTCGAGCAACGGTAGTTTAGCGGCTTGTGGCCCGACATGCCACCTGCTCTTCTTCTCAATTGCCGCTGCCCGAAGGTCTTGCTACTGGCAAATGCCCACTTTTCGAGTTTGAGGCTGGAGCGCCTGTTCAAGCGCCTGACTTGGCCGTGCATCGATGTTTTCGCCCTTCAGAGCCCACAAGCTTCTTGAATGTTGTCCAAGAACACTTGAGGAAATTCCAAGGAAGGAAACAACCTTTTTAAGTGGCTCCTTATTTGCAAGATCTGTTTTGTTTTGAAAATCGCATGGGCGTTTCCTAAAGTAGGACCCCATTTTGGGCCTCTGATTTAAACACAAGTAGTAAAATAGTGACATCCGCTGTTCATTTCCCCACCTGAATATGGTGGTTTTCCTTTCTGTGTCCCTTGAAATCCGCCAAAGAAACGGTACCAACTCCAAAAAAAGACACACACACACACACCCATGCTGCCCATCAACAGGGATCCTTACATTATACACCTGAACATTGCAACTTGTAAATGGTGGTGTCCCTTTGCGTTGGCGGAAGAAGCCATGTTTCAAATGGTTGCAAAATGGAGATCTTTTAAGGAGCCCTGGTCAGCTTGTGATCAGCTTGTGTTAAGCGCTTGGGAATGACACAACCACCCAAAACTGTAAGGAAACAGCTGGTTTCTTGAAAAGAAAGATGGTTGAAAAGAACGGAATCGGAATCAATCCCTAGACTGGTGCCCCCATTAAGTTGGCAAGGATTCCCAGGTCGCACCCCAAGCACCCGGCCTTGGTGGACAAAGCACCCTGGCAAACTTCGGAGCGGATGGCGCGTGCCCAACTCGTGGACTTGGACTCGATGGTAGACAGGGGTGTCTTAGGGCTAGGCTGGAACTAGGACCCCAGGAAACAATTAGCTGTGTTGCCTGGTTAGTGGAAAACAAAGAGACCCCGAAAAAGCACAGAAAGCATTCATTCACTCCGGTTCAAGCGCGCGCACAGCAACAAGGCGGTGCGGCACGCATCTGTCTCTCGTCCTCAAAAAGGTCTGGACAGGTCGTTGGTAGACCTGATTCGCCTGTTAAACGGTGCACCTGTACAAGATGGTGCTCCTTAAGGCGAAGATGTAAGCCTTTGACAGGCATGTGAATTCCTATGGGTGCGAGATGCACCAGAGTCACACTAGGCACGGGAACATTCAAAACTTGCATCGCTGCACGGAATCCACGTTGCAGATAGCGCACACAGGATGCTAAAGTCATGCCATGGTGCCGGGATGAACCATTGTCCCATCGCTCCTGTAAACTAGGTGCTGGTACCGGCAAAGGCGCGAAATTGGCCTGTCTAACCAAAAAAGCCAGCTCAATCCAACTCACGGCTGCAAGGCCCGCACAATCTGTATCCATTGAAAGCAACCACTGCATCAATGTCAAGAAGAAGGTCGGGACAAAAGGTGCCATAATCGGATTTTCCTTCAAAATGCTGCTCCAGGCAATTGGTAAATCGTCAAGCCAATAAGAATCGTGAAGCCAGGGAATCACGCATAGTGGGGGTAATTCCGTCTCAAGCTCAGGTTCCAAATCCTGTGGAGTGGCAAGCAACTGTGCGCGTGCAGTTGCAACATCCACATGCAGGGAAACAAGGGCCTGAATGTCCTGACACACTTGAAGGTCATGCTGCTGGTACTGCGAATGGCTCTGCAGAAACTGGACGCTGCGTTGCCAGGCCGCCTGCTTCGCCAAAAAGTCGACTCGGTTGTTGTGATCAATAATCCAACCCGAAACAGGGTTGAGGCTGACCGTCAAATCGCCATGCGCCGCAACGTGCTGTATCTGAATCGCCGCCTCGTGAACCGACAAGGCATTCTCAATGTCCGCCCAAAGGTCGCAGTTAGCTCCAGGTTCATGGGGTTCCAGACCATGAAGCAAAGCGTTGACCCCCGAGGCCACATAGGCAGAGTCTGTCCAGAGGGAAATCGGAAAGGCGATAGCATGCACGTTTGACCAGCGCAATACCTGTAGCACAGCCGTAAGTTCAGCTCGACTGATAGTTTGAGGGTGGCCAATCAGCGGTCCCGCCAAATCAAAGTTGGTGAACGCCAGCGAAGCTGCCCATCCTGCCAATGCCAACATCGGATGATGAGGCAGGTAACAGGAACCATCGGTGAAAAAGTCGAGGTGGGGGGGAACCCTGAGCATCGCTTTTTGATTAGAATCAAAAGGATGACCATGATTTTTTGTTTTTAAAAAAAGTAGGGAAAATCAAAAGAGATTTACAAGTGTTGTGAATGTGTTTTTGGTGTGTGTAAACTAGTGTTTTGTTAAATGCTTTCTTTTGATTTTCTTTTGATTTTTTGTGTTCTCAAAGTGGTGAACATGAATGCATTCACTGTCAGTTTTTGGCTCAAGAAATATAATCTATATATATATATAGAGCTAGATATAGAGGCTTTGGAAAAGGCCAGAAGGCCCATGGCAGAAGAAGAAGAGACAGAGTCAGGCTTTGGAAAAGGCCACAGGAAAGGTGGTGCCAGACACTTTTCCAAACCCTATGTGGACAGTGGCTTATTGTTCACTGTTTTGGAGCAAAATCAACAGATTTTGCAAGATTTGAAAAACTATGAGTTGACTAGCAAATGCAACTCTCCAGACCCCAAAGGTCTGGTACACACCCTTCCCTTGTGGAAAGGGCTGCTGAGGTTGGAAAGCTCTGGTGAAATCCATACCCAGCCACTTCGAACAGCCCTGATCACATTGTTGGCCCAGGCCCCAGGCCTCAACACAACTTCCAATTCAGGGCAGGTCTGGGCCAACCTTAGAATGGAAAGGATTAGCACAATCCTGTACCATGTGAGAAAAGTGGGAAGGGAGGGCCTGCTTTCATGTGCAGCCAGGCTGACAAGGCAGGAATATGAAAACCTGCAAAATGGCTTGCAACTGTTGGATGGGAATACTTTGCGACAGGTAAATGCTTTGGAAAAGGCACAGGCTTTGGAAAAGGAACAGGCTTTGGAAAAGGCGCAGGCTTTGGAAGAAGCACAGGCTTTGGAAAAGGCACAGGCTTTGGAAAAGGCACAGGCTAAGAGAAAGCTTAAACAACGTGACAGTGAAGTGAGCATGGACAGCCAAGGGTACCCAAACATGTTTGGGAGCCCAGCACCCACAGACAGAGAAACAAAGCCAGTCGCAGCCATGGCCATGGACAGGAGAAGGCCTGGTAGTAAAACAGCACCTTTGGAAAAGGGTGACTTGCACCAGGCTTTGGGGTTTGGCACACAGGCATACAAGAGGCCTGCTGCTTTTGGAAAGGCTAAGAAGCCGCCTGCTGCTTTGGGAAAAGCAAAAAATCTGCTACTTTGGAAAAGGTGCAAAGAGTTGTGAAGCAGGTGAACAGGAAGCCTTGGGTGAAAATCTTGAGGACTGAAGCCAAGAAGTCAAACCCTAGGGCTTATTTGAGAGGGACCAAGGAGGAAGGTGGCACCTTGCACCTCATTGTTGAAGTCACAGCCAAGAGGTGTCCAGAGGGCTATTTGGAAATCATAGATCAGACTTGGACATCTTTGGAAAAGGATCATCTGACAAAGGAAGAAGCTGTGAACCTCAGGGAAGAGTTGTGCAAAAAATGGGGCTGCTAGATCACAAGAAGCATTTGGGAAAGTGCATGCTGTGTGAGAAAAGCTTGGCTTTGGAAAATGCCATGAGAGGCTTTGGAAAAGGCAATGAAAGGCTTTGAAAAAGCCATGAGAGGCTTTGGAAAAGGCCATGAGAGGCTTTTGGAAAAGGCCATAGATAGCTATGTTTCTACCCTGAAGCAATCCCAACATGGGAGTTGCCAGAGAGGGACAATTTTGATGGTAAAACAAATGGCTGCCTGAGCTTTGGGAGGTTTTTCGACTAAGTAGCCCAAGTCATTTTAAAATTTAGAGATGTATCACAAATATATCACTTTACAACACTTTTGTAAAACAAACAAATGGTTGTCAAACAGTGAAGTTGTGAGCTTGTTGGTATGACTGTTTGTTTCCCTGCAGCTTTTCAGCATGAGTATGGCCACACACGCACATGTGCAAACACACGCACACACACTTCACAGCATCACACAGCATCAGATGGTAGGGAACATAGCAGCAACAGACGCACAAGTTACAACACAGCAATGTTTAGGTTCGATACATATATAAGTCGTAAGTTCTCTCACAAGTCATTTTCCACCTGTAGCTGTAGCTTGTTGATGGTTTAGAGTGCAGCCAAGTTTGGGAAAGCTTGTGCTGCTGCTAGGTTTGGGAAAGCCTAGCCTGGTTTGGGAAAGCCCAGTCAGGATTTGGAAAAATCCAATCTGGTTTTGGAAAAAGCCGGCCCATGTCGCACCAAAACAAATGGGGCTATTGGGGTTACAACTGCAGGGGCTGGCGGGAGGGGTCTGGCACAACCCACGCCAACAGGAGAGCAGCCAGGGAACACCTGCAGTGGAGTTTCCTGGCTGAGAATGAGCCAGACCCCAGCCCAGAAAAGTGTTTGGAAAAGCACTTGGAAAGCCTGAGGAAGGCTGCAGAGAAGGCAGAGAGGAAGCTGGAGGAGGCAAGGGAGAAGTCTTTGGAAAAGGACAGGGACCCTTCTTCCTCTTCCTCCTTCTCAGTGCAAACCTTCAGCGGCCAAAAGGAAGCACAGCAAGATGCCTTTGGAAAAGGGCAAAGCTGATGCTGAAGATGAACCTTTGGAAAAGGGTGACATGGAAGTTAGGAGGACCAGGAGGGGCAAAAATGGAGAAAAAGAAAAGCTTCTGGAGATGAAGGAGGATCAGCCTTTGGAAAAGGACATTCCAAGCAAGAAGGATACCAACAAGTCTTTGAAAAAGGACAAGTCCAGCAACAAGGTGAACAAGGAGGATGTCCAGGGCAAGTCTTTGGAAAAGGACAAGCTCAGCAAGGAGCTGAAAGCAGAGGATGGCCAGGGCAAGTCTTTGGAAAAGGACAAGCCCAGCAAGGAGGTGAAGAAGGAGGATGGCCAGGGCAAGTCTTTGGAAAAGGGCAAGTCCAGCAAGGAGGTGAACAAGGAGGAGGACCGGGGCAAGCCTTTGGAAAAGGACAAGAAGCCTTTGGAAAAGGACTTATTGGCCAGCTCCCCCTCTGTGGAAAGAGAGCAGGCAAAGCTCAGGCCAGCCCCACACAAGCCAGTGGTGGTGGTGGACTGGCATGAGACTCTGGAAATTGATGGAGAAGTTCCAGAAGAAAATGACGAAGCCCTGCAAAAGCTGCTGGAGGTAGCCCATGTCCACATCCTCTCCTATGTGGAGTCTAGCAGCAGGGAAAGGAAGGTCCACCAGCATGCCAAAGCCCTCAAATGCTTTGGCAAGCTGGCAGGGGTGCACACCTGCTGGAGCCAAGTGGGGGAGGGATGGCAAAGCTGACTGGTGTAACCACTTGAAGGCTAGTGCCATCTTTGACAATCACTCTGGGGTGATCATGGATTGTTTGAGAGATCGCATGATGTGTTTTGCCATCCAAACCCCAAAGCAAGACCACAGAAAGCTGAATGCAAGCATGGTCTTCAAGACCTTTGCAGAAGCTGTGGATCAATACCTTGAGCTTTGAGGTATGGATGGCAAAACAGCTTTGGAAAAGGCATCACCAGTCAGCACACCCCTTTGCTTTGGAACCCCAGCTTTGGAAAAGGCAAGACTCACGCATTGCTAAAGCCTTTGGAAAAGGGCTAGAAAAGCTTTTGAAAACAGCCTTTGGGAAAGGGCTAGGAAAGCTTTTGAAAACAGCCTTTGGGAAAGGGCTAGGAAAGCTTTTGGAAAACAGCCTT